GTCTCGAACAGGGGTGATGGCAGTGACCACACCATTTCATCTCGTCTCTACTGCGATGAAAGAACAACCTGGGCTATCCTAATGGTTGGTTTCACCCCAGGAAATTCAGCCAAATCTCATCTTTGTCTTTTGTAGTGAATTCCACAAGAGTGGGACTCATGGTGGCTATACAAGCCAGTAAACAAGGCGTTGCTTGTGACATATCTGACCCATCAGGTAATTCAGCAGGGAGTGGTGTCTTCTTGCCAAGCTGTGGCAGGTGGGTGCATGCACTTCACTGCTGGTATGACAAAGCTGAAGATGCCTGAGGTGTTTGAGAGCTTTGAGATGGAGAGTTCTTGACCTAAGGAAGAGCCCTTTGGTTCTTGCCTCCTTGGGAAAGGGTGGGATTGCTGAAGAGAGAGAGAGATCTTTGAGTGATCTGAGGGGTGTAGGAAGGGAGCTGACAGGTTTAGGGTTCCTTTGCTGTGCTCTGCCCAGGCTGTGACAGTGCTGGGGTTTGTTTTTGAGTCACGCTAAAGACAAAATTAGAGGGTTTTTTGTGCAGCCTGAAACCCTGCAACTCTGCTGTAGGGGCTGCAGCCCAGGGTAGGTGCCCTGTCTCCACAATTGCTGACCACACTCTTCCCTTCTCCACAGTGACCACGGCCAGCCCCTGAAGCTCCAGTCATGAAGGCCCTGTACGTCATGTCCAGCGCCATCTGTCTGTGCTGCCCATGGCTGTGATGGGTGCTGCTACCTCATGTCCCCTCAAATTGCCAGGCATCCAAGCTTCTCCTCCTCCACCAGCTCTCCACTGGCTCCAACACCTTTGCCACCTCCCATGTCGTGTGGTGGAAATGCATGGTGCTGGGGTGGGCCCAAACTCCCACCCTGACAGCAGGCACATTTCCAAAACCTCTGCTCACTTCCTCATCCTGCTGGCTCATGAGAAGATCCTGTTGTCAGCACAGCAGAGGTGGGATTGTTACAGGCAGCTGGAAAACAGCAGGGGAATAAGCATTTCCCCCTTTGGCTGTTATTTCTTGAGAAATGCTGTCTGGTGAGTGTTTAGTCAGGGCCTGATCCACTGATGGAGCATCTGGGGAAAGGACCCAGTCAGCCCTGGGAGCACAGGTGAGGGCAGTTCAGTTGTATGATGGAATGAGGGGAGCCTGGCTGCACCTCTCTTAGACCTCATTGAAGGGCTGACCCTGCAGTGGGCAAGGATCTCTGGTTGGAGATCCCTCCCTTGTGGAGTTTTCCCTGTGAGCCTGGATCTTCAGAGACAGGTGAGCACTTTGTCTTTGTAACACCCTTCTGTTGCGCTAGTCCCTTTGTGGTTACACCTCCTTCCACTGCATTGATCATTCTGATTGTTACAGACCTCCTCTGCCCCTTCCCACCTGTAAAGCAAACAAGGTGATGACAGAGCCTTTATTTGAGATATAGGTGCTATAGAACAGGATATCAAAGAAAGAGGAATCGACTCATCCCTCCCAGCAGCAGTTTGGCAGAAAGTGGTGAGCTGAGGAATGCAGCCCTTCTGCGTTTGAACTATGGTGTGCTGAAAGGTGAAAGGGGGCTGAGGGGTGAGGGGAGGAGACCTGTGCAGGCTGACTGTATGTGTGCTGCTGGGAGCACTGCTGAGATGGAGAGAGAGGAAGACTCCCCCCACTTGAGGTACTCGTGTGCTCGTGCAGTGGTTCAGGCTGTGACCTGGCAATTCCACTGCACCACCCGTCCTGCACTGTCCATGTGCCACCTGCAGATGTTGCCCAGCTGTTGGGCAACTCGCTGTGACCTCCCTGTCTCACTGCTGCCTTGTGCACTGGACTTCACAGCATCTTGATGGTGAGTAGTGGTCCTCTGGAGATGCTGAGCAACAGTTGTGAGCTGCACCCTTTTCCTGGACCAGTATCCCAAGCCCTTCTCAGCCCAGAGCTTGTCTCTCTTTCCCTGGGGTTCTATGGATAAGTCAGCAAGATGGGACTTTACCAGCCAGGTGGTTTCAGCTTCACCACCCAAATGACAGCAGGGCAGTCCTGCAGCTCATGGCAGCCCTACAGCTCTGCTCCTTTGCCAGGCTGGAGAGCTGAATCAGCTCCGATTCTACAGATCCTTCCCTGAGTCCTGCTTCTAACCACCGATACTTCTGCATCCTCTAGGCCACATCAGGACTGGAAAGAGGAGTAGATATCAGGCGGAAGGATCTGGCCTTCTGCTGGGTGATAGCCACCTGCGTGGCCTGTTCCTGCTTTCTCTTTTCCCCAGGTGGCATTGTGCTTCCCAAGGAGTGCATGGACCTTTCTGATGGGAGTGAGCAGCAAGGAACCGACTGAATCATAGAATTGCAAGGTTGGAAACGACCTGTAAGAGTCTCAGCTATAGAGGTCCTATAAGGGTCTCAGCTTCCTTCCTGCCCTGCGCTTGACTGAGGGACCCTGCGACCAGCTCAGGAGGTAAGAGGTGGCCGTGGGCCTAGCTCTGCCAGCTTTCACTGCGAAAGGGAGCAGTTCAGGGAAAGACACAGCCTGGGTGAGCCTGAGCTTTACTCTAGCATCTGAGGGAGCTGTGGACACGACTCATAGAGGTGTGGGTCAGCTGTCGCTATTCAGTGTTCTTAAGCAGCCCAGCTGTATCTCACAGGCTGTAGTCACAATTTCTCTTCTTTGATGTCAGGGCTCTTGGGGCAAAACGTGCCTGGACACTGCCACACATTTAATGCCTTTCTGTGGTGCACACTGGAGGATGCAGAATTGGCTGGGTCTGTGATGCTTTATGAAGCTGGTCTGACCTATTTCAGAAGCAGTGAGAACTCTTCTCACCTAGTCTAACCCTTAGAGCAGCATAGAGTGACCAGTGCTACCTGGGGATAAGTCTTTTTTTCTACTTTCTATCCCAAGTCCTTCCCTTTCCACGGACACAGCAGAAGTGGTCCTTCAGAGCTGATTTACCCCTGCACCTGCTGTGTTTCTTTTCACTTTTTGTGGATGAGCAAGTACCCCTTTAGGGATGAGCATCTCTTTGCTCCATCCATTTTACAGCTCACAGTGGGGTGCCCAGAACACCCCACAGTTGTGGGGAGCAGCTGGCGCAAGAGAAGTAAGTCCTGAGGCTGCAGCAAAGATTTTGGGTCATTTGCAGTGGCTCAGTGGGACCTTGCAGAGGCAAAAAGCAGCTGGGGATGTGCTCTACAGTTCTGTGCTGGTTTGCAGGTTCCTCAGGAGTGGTCCTGGGTCATCTGGCTTCCACCAAGAGTGCTCCTCTTCTCTCCACAGATGGCATCCCAGGTGCTGTCTGTCTGTGGTAGGTTCCAGAGCAAGGAGACCTCTCCGTGCCATCGCTGCACATTGATTTCAGCCTGTGGCACCAACACTGGGACACATGGATGCTCCAGGAAACAGCTGTGAACCCTGGGGCTGGAATAAAGATGCCAAAAACAGCGTAGAAAAAAAAACAAAAAACAGAGGTAAGTCTCAGTTTGTGCAGGAAACACACCTGCTAAGGTGAAACTGTTTTTCCCCTGTGTATAATCAATGGATATCAAGATGTTACAATTGTATAATCAGTGGATATCAAGATGTTACAATATAATCAAGAGAGTTAGGCAAAGTGGGCAATGATAACAAAAGAGAACAAAATGGGAGGCTTACCCTTTGGCTGGGCTCACCACAAAACACCGAAAGAGGCGATCTCCAGAAGAGATCTTTCCCCTCTGGTAGCCAGCTCTTAAATAGGTCTAGGAGGTGTGGAGCCTGGCTCCACCTCTTCCGGCAGCAGAGGTGAATTGCCTTCACCTGTGCTCCTCTGGCTGACTCATGGCTCGCCTCAGGTGATCAATCAGAGGTTCAGGCCGTGATTCAGTAGTTCCCATTACACCCTGCAACCTAGCCCTAATTCCAGGAATCAAGCACACCCCACACACCACCAGCTGGGACCATCCAGTGAGGTTTGTTTTGGATGCTACTCTCCAGCACCCATTTCGAAGCAGCCACTGTGCTTCCCATGGTTGCTGCTGTCCTGAGCCCTTTATAACCTCAGTAGCCCCTGCTATAAGGCAGCATACTTCAGAACTAGAATGGCGTGGTTTTGTAGGAGGGAGCAGGGGGTTTGTACCAAGGAGCTGCAGGACATCCTGGGCACAGCATGGCAAGATGGGAACATCCACTATGTGTTTGTGTTGGCTCCACAAAACTGCACGGGGGCACAGCATCTCTAGCAAGAAAACCTCTGCAACTCATTCTGCTCCCTTATCTTTTTAAAAAATGACACGGTCCAGCTCATTTTGGCCATGGGACACAGCAGCTCTGACAGCATCCCAGTGCTGCCGCATCCCACTGCCTGCCTCTCCGAGGGGCCAGGGCCGATCCAGAGCAAAGCAGCAGCTTGGTTCTGCATTGGAAAGTGGAGGTGTGTGGAGTGCTGTAGGTGTGCTGGCTGTGCCACATCGCCATGGGGTAGAGCTGATGCTGCAGTGAGCCCTTGTGGGATGTTGGTGGTGCCTGGGGTTTGAGGGCTGCTCAAGCTGGCTGTCGCAGGGCTGGGGAAAACAGGGATAACAAAGGGGATAATGGAGAGAGATGGCTTTGGTGGGGCTGCCTGATTTTTTAGGTGCTCTGGAGTTGCTGAAGTTCATCAGGAAATGCGGCATCTCTCCCTTGTAAATGTTTGGGGCTGAGGCACTGGGGTGAGAGTGGAATGGCATGGCTGGGTCTGGAAATGATGGCTTTGTGTTTGGCCAATTCTTGGTGGCCCCTGGGTGAGCCAGTGCCGTTGCTCCTGCCTTCAGTTTCACGGACAAAGGGGGAAACAGCCTGCAGGCCCAAGGCTGCCTCATCCTGGTTCCACTTGGCTGTGGGTGGTATGGGGCTCTGTGTCAGTGGGCTGAAGCCGGCCCCAGGGGGCACCCAGCAGGCTTTGACAGCAGCAGAGGTGGCTGGCTGCAGGCTTTCTCTGCTCCACGCTTTGGTTCACAGGTCTTGGGCTGCTCCCAGTCGTCCTCCATGTTCTCCAGTTGTGGTTCCAAGAAATCCTTCAAGTTGGAGAAGTATCCCCCAAAGGGGTGGCAGCTGATGTGTTTCAGCACCTTATTGCATTATGTATGAAAGAAGCCGGTGAAGACAGCGGGTGCAGCCTCAGCTCTTGGGTAAGGCTGTCTGTCTGTCCTCCCAGGGGAGCACTGCGATGGGTCCTGCCTCACTCCAGCCTCCCCTGGATGTGTCCTTCAATCCTTGTGTCTCTGGGCTCCTCTGCTCCTTGAAGTGGGGGTTGGCTGCCAGCTGTCTGGGCTCTGGGTTGGGGTGAGTGCTGCTCGCTGCCCCATTGCCCTCCAGGCAGTGCTGTTAGTGGCAGGACTCTGCCTCACTCACCTGGGCCAGCTGCTTCTTCTTGGCCAGCAGAGACATGATGGGGTGGTTGCCTTTGGAGTAAAAGCTGGAAAAGAGGCACTTGCAGGCTTCAGTGTGGGCACAGCAAGTGCCAGGACACCCCAGAAGGGCTGTGCTAGGGCCATGGGGCTGGCACATTGCTCCACGGGCCAGCCTTGCTTGTGGGCCTCTGTTTGGTCTTCCTGGGTGAGGGATGCAGCCATCAGGAGGTACCCAGAGGGGCAAATCTGTCCAATACATCTTTGAGATGGGGAAGAAGAGGGTACATATCTGAGAATACCTCACTGGTGTAAAAATGTCAGCACTGATAGATATCTGTGATGGAAACTTGTGTGAGAGCAATAATTTAGTAATAAAATAGGTCAAATCCTTACGCTGAAGGGGGCTACCTTACAAGAACCATTTTGTGATTTTGTTTGACAGTTTTCTCTGCACTGTGTGGATGGTGGAGCTGTGATGATGTAATCCATTTCCAATTGTGAACTAGATGGCTCTAAGAGCTGCTGCAGTATGATGCATGTTGGCTGACTTTAAGCTGAAACGTAATTGCCACTGAATATCAATGTGTGTGGGAGGATTTTGTTTTTAATTCTGCGATTTCATCCTTGCCCTATTAGCAGCTAAGAGGCCATTGTTTTCCCAAACCCTGCTTTGCTGCTAATTGAGGCTGATGGCAAGTGCTGTGCTTTGGGCCCTTTGCTTTTAGTTTCTGTGGCCTATGTACCTTGGAGGGTGCTTTCTTTCACTTTTTTTTTTTTTGGTTTGTTTGTTTGCTAGCCACCTTTTCGGTAGATAAGATTTATTAGGGATGTTCTTGCTTTCCTGTTGTGGCTATATGTAGGTGCTGGACCAGGGGAGTTTATCAGAAAAGGGAAGGATTTGCTGCACTAATTGAATTGTAGCCTTTTAGACAAATGGAAGTTAAGGTGCTGATACTGCGCTGTGTAGCTAGAGAACTTCCTCATGAATAATCTGGGATCTGATCCCCAGTTCCCAATTTGAGTTCTCCATCTGTTTATACCCATGTTGGAGCAGACCTGTATCTTGTAGGCAAGATCTGGGCAGTGAAAAGCTTTGGGGATGTTGACTGGCCATGTTAGTATATGAAATGTTCAGGCACGGAAGGAAACAGCCAGTTTACAGCTGAGGAATAGTTTGCCTTTCCTCTTAAATTCTTGCACCTGGTTTCTATGAGCACTGTTACCCACTGCTTGCAGTGAGACTCAGCACTGGGTATGGGGGGGCCTGGTGCTTAGCAAGGTGTAACTGCAGCTCTGCACTGAAGCAAACTGCAGCCCAGGAGTATCACAGGAGCTTGAACATCTGGTGTGTGCTAGGTTTTAAACTGTGCATGCTTTAATGGTACTGGACTTGTGGGCTGCCACTCGTTCCCTTGGGAAATTTCTGTAAGACTGTTTAAGGATGTTAGGACTGCCAGGTGGCCTGCATGCCCTTCTGTCAGCGATGACTATTCTCAAGGCATACATATAGGTAGAGTTATACATGCCTTGTTCTCTGTCAGGTTTGTTTTTCAAGTGAAGAGACAAAAAATAAATCGGGCGTTTTTAGCTTGGATCAGTTCCTTAATGTGGTGCAGTGCGTGGTCTCATACTGAGAAGGTGATGGCTGAGCAAGGCTGGGGACTGCTGGTGCTCCTTAAGAGGGCAAGGTGCATGCTGACTTGTGCTACTGGCTGGAGCTAGCAGGTCTGTAAATGGCTGTGCTGAGGGGTCAGGCCTTGCAGAGAGCTGGGGCCAGCAGCTGGGAGACGACGGCTTCACAGCCAGCCCTCCTGCAGATCACCATGACTTGTGTTGGGCTGCAGCCTTGCACCATGCCTCGGGTTAAGCAGGGGGCTGGAGGCAGGTGATGTTACTGGGTGGGAACCACCAAACCAACAATCTTCCACGTTCCTGTGCTTTGTACAGGCTTTGGGAACTTGAGTTTATTTCTTTTAGAGTGAGTTGCAAACTTGTGCAGTGTCCAGTCTCCAGTGGTTCGGTCTGTCCACTCTTAAGTCAGTGGGAGTCTTCCTGGTAGTTTGGTTATTCAATGTTCCACAAGTACCTTCCCTAAATAAAGTTATTTAGCTGTGGAAACATTTGACTGTAGGCCAGCAGGCTGAAAAAGTGTGTGTAGAGGGGTTTGTGAAAGTACCTTGCCTGTTAAGGAGCCTCTCTCTGTGCTGTGACTGCTTCAATACCATGATAAAAATAATATAAAGGATTCTAATAACTAATGAACTTGTTCGTTAATGGATTAAGTGTTGTCTTAAGGGGAGCAGTTTGAGTCCATCTAATAGAAGTTGGCTGGAGGTGTGTCCTATGGCTGTGACAAACTTTGCTTCATAATAGCACGTACTTTTCAGTAGCTGCTTGCCGTGCTGTAATGCGGTTGGAGTGGGAGAAACAGAGCACTGGTCATTTCCCAGCAGATAGCGATAAGTTTCCACTCAGTCACAATGCTCCATGGTCTGACAGGTTTATAATTATCATCCGAAGATTGATGTCTCTGAGGGGACTGTAGAGATGTGCAGCATTAAGAAATCAGTAATCATTCTGTCCTGAAATGCAGTTTCTGTACAACATTATAAATGCACATCAAAGATTTGATTCTAGGCTTGTCATCCCTCTCCATCCTTTCCTCTTCCCTGAACTCCCATGTTCAACATCCTTCACGGTGTCAGAAAAGGGACTATGTGACAGGACATTTGTTTCCTGATGGAAAAGCAGGGATGGTAATACCAGCACCATTAAACTTGTTTAAACTTGTTAAACTTGTTGTGTGATCTTTCCTTTCCCGACAGTGCTGTTTTGATCTTGGGAAAGTTGTTGCAGCCCCCAT